AGAGAGAGAGAGCGAGAGAGATAGCGAGGCATAGCCAGGCAGAGCCAGAGACCGACAGAGAAGGAACCGATGAAGGATTTTAAAAATAAAGAAAGAAAACAAGTGCCCCGGCAGCAGCTGGAGGTCGTAGTCAGCACCGCGGCACCGAAAAATGTCATCGTATCCATCCATTCCTCCATGCATACCTGCATCCCTCCGTCACTCCCTTCATCCATCCCTTTATCCTCCCATTCTTCCCTACATCCATGCGACCATGCCTCCATCTGCACATCCATCCATTCATCCATATATCTACGCAACCCTCGTGCGATAAGCCCTCCTACAAAGCCCTCCATAAACCCTTCCAACAGCCCTTCTACCAACCCTTCTACAAACTATAAACTTTGCCATAAACGCTTCTACACACCCTTACAAAAGCCATTCTGCAAACTTCCAGAAACCCTTCTGCCAACCCTCCTTTACACTTCTCTAGAAACACATCTACAAACCCCTCCATAAACCCGCTACAAACCGATCAACATGTACTGTGGGGATTCAAAATCACGGCCGACATGCGTCCCTCCATGTACTGGCAGATGGGGTGACATGACCACGACAAGAAGGTTGTCATTTCGGAGCCAACGTGCAGCCAGTGTAATGAAAATTACAATCAGTCCCACAGGCCGAGGACGCGTACATGCCCAAGTCCACCGAGAGGGTTGTCAATTGCCAGCGCGAATCGTCGCGGTAACACATGTGCAGTGCAACTTCGCGTGGCGACCAACATGCTTCCACCACATGTATCAAGATTCAGAGACACGACCGATCCTGAATCAGAGATGAGAGACAACCTCACGACAGCCTAAGAGAACCTCACGAACATCATCGAACATCTCAGCTGATTATCATCACTTCATGCAATCCAAAGCACTTCCACGGCAACACCCTTCGCAAGGCTTTCGGGAAAAAGAAAAAACCAAAAAAGCAAGGAATAAAGAAGCAGAGATAGGTAGACATAGACAGGTAGAGAGATACAAAGACAGAGAGAGGGAGAGCGAGAGAGCGAAGTTCTGGGCCCGGGCACTCGAACCCACCAGGCTGGTCGGTGCAGGTCAGCAGGCTGGAAGGCAGTGCATTCCGTATCTGGGGCGCCTGATCGCGAAAAGATCTCAGAAGCCTTAGACGTAGCTGCTAATGCAACAGGTCAGTGTGTCTGTCAAGCTATCAGTAATTACAGAGGTGGAGGAAGAGGAGAAATGGCAACTGCAGTAGCAGTAGCTGTCATCACCCTCGTCGTAGGAACGGCGCAGAGCAGCAGCAGCAGCAGCAGCAGCAGCAGCAGCGGTGGCGCGGCAGCAGCTGTGTCTGTCTAGTCATGCTGAGATTTCCATTGATACAACTTCTGCTTTTACGGGTATGGTCCGCATCTCAGCCTTATGTGAGCTGCTCTAAACAATTGCATGCCTTTCAATTCGCTGTTTTGCTCTGGATCACACTGCTACGGCTATGGGGCACTTTTCAGCCCATCCCAGAGATGCTCAAAGACCTCTTCTACCAACTGCCCACCTCTTGAAAGACCTCGAAGTTGTTCACCTCATCCTGCCTCTCCTGAGCCTACAATTTCGGCCTCCGGGCAAGATTTCTCTATGCAGGGCGTGGACTTGCCGTTCACGATGCGCCACTCGCTAGCCTGCATGAGAGCTGTGGGATAAGGAGCTTGGCTTCGATGGCAAAAAAAGAAAAACAAGGATTACAACACTTGCCGCTTCCCAGTTGCGGGGCCTCGCAGACGTACCGGCTGGCCTCGGGGTCTGGATCATAACCTGGGGAGCAGTGGATGTCGCAGACAGCGCCGTGGGGTCGCCCTGCACAGGCTGGATCCTCGGGCTCAGCTTGATGAAGAAAGCCCCTACGATGCCTCACAGCGGAGACACTTTCTCAAGTGTTTGACTGTTGGCCTATGCATGTCTGTGATTATGTGAAGTTTCGCCTCGCACTCCTTTCTTGCGGACTGTCGGTTGTCTGTCTATGTCGTTGTTTTCCTGCTCCCCCCAAACATTAGTTCTTTCCGTCCTTATCGTTGGTCCTTCTGTTGTCCCCGCTGACCTTGAAAGAGCTTCGACCAGCCGGGCTGCGCTGGCATCTGAAGCCGCATACATGTTTTTTCATAGGCGGTGGAGCCGTTGGTTCGCACAGGCACCCGGAGGCCTGAAACCATCCAAAACCAAGCAAGTTGAGCGGTGCTATCCACAACACGAGCCACCATCGGTGGGATGGGTTGTTTGCGGATTTCAAGCTTCTCAAATTTGTGCACATGCCCACCCGATGAGTAGTTCAGAGGTCGTGTAGGGGTCATCCAACTCAATCGGGGTGAAGTGAATGTTTCTTGCGGTCCACATCAGGTTCCGATCAATTCGTATGATCAGAAGGACTAACAGCGCGTCCGTCAACAACGCCGCTCTGCTTGGGTTGAGCTATGATGAGCATGTCGCATTTCTGCCATTACGCCGGTGCTGCTGTTGAAGCGGCTGCTGAGAATTCCAATGCCGAGCAGTTTCGAGAAATGTCTGGACAACAGGACCTAAACCCCAACAAACACGTTCTCGCCCACGGTTGCACATGCTGTTTACCGCAGATTGGTAAGCTTGGTCGCAATAGTAGGATTGACCATGTGTGTGCTCCGCAGTCCATGCAGCAACGCTTTACAAGTTGCAAGGTGCACCGTCTCATATGCGCAGGGTAAACGGTGCGGCTCATCCTCACAGCGGGCGAACTTGACCGAATGCCTGTGCTTTATGCACTCAGCCGCGATTGCGATTTAACTTTAACTTCGTGATTCTGCCTTCGCGTGGGTAGAGACAGCCTGGCACAGGGAGTTCTGCAAGATGCAAACCAGTGGTGGGGTCGTGACAGGGTGGATCGGGATGGCGCTGGCTGTGCTTGTTGTGGATTTCGTCATCTTCACTGGCTGGCCTGACTTCGGCACAGGGGCTTTGTTAGAGCTCCAAGCCCGTGCCGGCGAAGCGCCGACTCTTTGGTTTGTCCTTCTTCTTCCTTTCATAGGCGTGTCCCGTTCTTGGAACTCTTGATGGTTGCTTTTGCTCTGGTTCTTTGGCCTCTTCAAGCAATTTCAGGGAAGAGGTCTCCCTCTTGCTTTGCGGATTGCAAGAGTTGCATGCGCTCAAGCCCTCTACTCACCCCCCAAATTATCCCAAGATCACCGGAAGAATCTCAGACCTGTTCGCCTGAAAGCACTGAAATCTTCTGGGCCGCTGGCCTTCAGCTCTCCCGGTGTCCACAGTGGCTCTCCAGAGCCTCATAGAAGTCGAGGCACACACTCCGAAGGAGGCGTTGAGCTTCGGTCTGCCGACAAGTTCTGAGGTTGGGGTGGGGTTGATGGAACTCTCCTATGCACAATTATGCACACGCCATGAGGAACCTGCCGAAGGGAACATCTATGGTTTCTGAAGAAAAGGCGCTTTGCAAGCCGGGCAACAAGGCAACGGAAGGCAGCGAAGAAAGCCTTGGAATTGGCCATCCGCGGCACAACGCAGCTCGTGGCCGTCTGACTCATAGCCCGCAGCACAGACGGGGGCGCACGTAGAATTGTAGGAGATACCTGTGCAACTGATATTGAGAATACTTGGCTGCGGAATGTCATCCAAAGTCGGCAGCGTGCAGTTGATGTCCATGCAAACCTGGCTCGTCACCAGAGGTTGCAGACTCCCGGACAGGCTCCGCTCGACCATCTGCGGAACCGCTGTGGAGGACACCAGCTCAGATAAGTAGATGATGTCAGGATAGGCACTCTCGGCATACGCACATCGGTACTCCACCGACGGCACTGGCTGCTGATAGTCGGCATCGCAGCGAAGCGAGCAGGCGGCTCCTAAGGGCACCAGGAGATATCCCCCATCTTCTACGAGCTGAAGCGGGACCGGCTGCCCGTCCAGTACGCAGTCGTACGCACCGTCTGGGCGCGAACTCAGGTGGCACGGAAGGTCTACACAGGTCAGGTTGGATGCCCCTAACAGAGAAAATGATCCATCCTTGCAGACATAGTCCTCCTCCGAGACACTGTCGTCAGCCGGCACCCGCGGGCTTCGACAGGTCTCCCTGAAAATCGCTCCCTCGTTTGCGATTGGAAGCTCTTCTTCTTGGCACGGGTTCTCGAGGTAGACCCCTAGCGAAGCGCACGTGCTCACGTGCGCATCCAGATTCGCGATATTGGCAAGGAGTGGGCAGCAAGATTTGCTGTAAAGACACAAGGGTGCCCGTGCCAGCTCGAGGCAGCTTTCGTTGGAGTTCATCGGCTCCGGGACACCCGCAAGACAGCTTGCAGTCGCACTGGCTGCGTCGCAGGTCTCATCCAGCTCCAACTGCTTGCCACATGCGTTTTCAACTTGCAGTCCGGCATCTAAGCAGTTGCTGATGCTCCCTTCGATGGGCTGTTCAGCATCCAAGCAACAGCTCGTGTCTCGGAGGCATGTAATGGCACCGGGCAGGGCTACGCAGAACAGCTCGATATCCGTGATCGATATGACCGCCTCCAGGCACGTCTGTGCCTGATTCCGGTCGCATGGAAGCGTAGTGGTTGTGCTTGTGGTTGACACAGTCGGCGATGCCCAGTAGCCAAACTCATAGCCGATGAGTGTCGCTCGTGTTCTAGCATCTTCTTCGCCCGGGATATTCTGACAAGGAGGAATACAACGAGGCGGATCGGCCCCGTCCACGACCCAAGATCCATTCACGCATGTCAACTGCCCAGTCCCCGAGAGGCCATTGGTGCAGTTGAACGGACAGGCGGAGCCGTTCAGAGAGTCCATGCCACAACCCTGTAGGGCTGTTTCAGGCAGCAGACCTGCGATCGGTACAGTGCTACAGCTGTAAGGCAAGGATGGCGGCACGGAGGAGCAGCTGATACCACCCAGCAGATTTTGGAAGTCCAAAGCCAGCACGCCTCGCGCCAGCACCGTCATAGTGCTGAAATCCAGAGAGTCTAGAAAGACTTCAACCATCGCACTCTCGCTGGCAAAGAGAAGCCTGGAGCCAAATTGCCAAGCCAACCTGTAGGTGCCAACTGGAGCTCCTGAAACCGTAAAGGACTGGAATCCCGAGCCCTCGTGCCAGCGCAAAAATCCCGACGGTACCATGCTCGCGACGTAAGTAGAAGTGTCTTCCATGTATACAACGATGCCACCAACCTCTATGGGCGGGATGCCATGTGAAACGTTGGAAGACCAAGACCGGTCCGTCACGTTGGGCTCCGAAATAAACGCCAGGCCTTCTAAAGAGCTGATGGTCGTATTGCCTGCAACATAGAGCGTGCCGTCGCTTCGAAACGCGACCGATCGGACACTCGTGCCATTTGGCAGGCGTGCCACGAACTCAGTCTGATTCTCAGCAACACGTGCTACGAATGCGCCGTCACTGTACGTGATAAGGCAGTACAGTATCGAGTCTTGGGGATTTACCTCGCAGGCATTCACGCGTCCCACTCCCACATCCAGTTGAAAAAGCCGTTGCCATGTCGAATTTGGAAGAAAGCCTGCAACATCATAGACGCCTGGGCCGTCATCTCGAAGTGCAAACACTGTTGATTCGCCCAGAGTGCAGTCAAAGGTGCTAATCGTTGAGCACGGCAGGTGAAGCAACAAAAGGCATGCAGTTTGCAGCACCAGCTGCCTGCTCAAACCCATGAAGCGATGCAAACCCCAAGTTGGTTGTGTTTGCAAGAGGAGCTGCATTTGCAAAAGCTAAGCCAAGGGGTGGCAGCACGGCTGTTCCTCTACATTATGCTTTGGCGTGTCCTGTGGATGCGAAATATGCTGGCTGCTTCTGTCATGGTGGCAGCGTCGTTTCGGAGCATCTGCCACACACCTGCTGGAAATTCTGCGCTGGCGAAGCTGCGATGTTAGGGGCAACGTTCATGTTACCACGCTGGCCACACGATGTTCATGACTTGGATGGAGGCTTGTCTGCTGTCATAGAGCTGGGGATTGGTGTTGTACACTGTTTGGTTTGGGTTAGGGGGAGACCGAGGTGTCAAAAGCAGCTCAACCATGCACCACATTTTATTCTTGCTCCTTGGGCTCCTTGCCGTCATGTTATGTGCAGCAGGCTTTGCTCCCTTCTCTTGATAAAACGATGTGTTGAACCTCCCCCTGGCCAAAAAGCACACTTTTCGGGAAATCGTTCTCTGCTTGAATACAACAGGACTGTGAAGTACAGCTCCACTGCTGCCGCTTTGAAACTGCCTAATTGGCTGCATGCAAAGCGAAAAGGACGTAGTGCACTTCTGCCCAGCCTGTCATCAAGCGTTTGCTTCCGAAAGCGGTTGCAAGCGCCTTTCTGGCATAAGCACTGGCTCAGCTTTGTAGTCGCCACGATTACAATGTTGGAGCAGTTCCAACGCTTTCCTATTCGTATCGAAAGCGTATTCGTCTCAGACATAGTCTCTTAGTTATCGTCTTGGTCTTGGTCTCAATCTCAGTATTAGCAGTAGGAGCAATAGGACCGGTAGCGGGGAAGCAGCAGCAGTGCCACCAGCAAGAGCAGTAGCAGTAGCAGTAGCAGGAGCAGCAGGAGCAGCAGGAGCAGCAACAGAAGCAACAGCAGGAGCAGCCGTAGGAGCAGCAGCAGGAGCAGCAGCAGGAGCAGCAGCAGGAGGAGCAGGAGGAGGAGCAGCAGCAGAAGCACCAGCAGGAGCAGCAGCAGCAGCAGGAGCAGGAGGAGCAGCAGGAGCAGGAGCAGGAGCAGCAGCAGCAGGAGCAGAAGCAGTGGCAGTGGCAGTAGCACCGGCAGTAGCAGTAGCAGCGGCAGCAAGAGTAGCATTAGCAGCAGTAGCAGTAGTAGCAGCAGCAGCAGCAGCAGCGGCGGTGGTGAGAAGAGGATGATGGCGATGACGACGCTAACCGCTAATGTTGGTGATTTCATGGCGGCTTTTGTTCTGTCTTTGCTTGAGATCGTCCTTTTGGGTATCCTAGCAGTCTGCCAGTTCAATGAATGGCGCAAAGAGACAACATCCTCCACCGAATGCCGTCTGATGCAAGATTCGAGTGCAGTGACAAAGCGTCAGTGCTTCAAGCCATTGAAACTCGACGGGACCGGCATGACTTACAAATTTGGGCCGGACTATCCCAAGAGCATCGGCACCCGCCTGGCACTTAGGCCAATTCCATGCAAACAGCTCCGGCTCAGGTGAGTAGAAAAAGGCGTCGGCGCACGTTCCTTCCTACTCGAAACCACTTCTCCATTTACCCACCGGGCTTGCTGCAGTTTACCCAAAGTATCTCTTCCGACGATTGAACTACAGGGACTACTGAGAAGGCCATCATGGTTCTTGGCTTTTGCATCATCGGACGTGCGGCTTAGTGCCTACGCACGAAGAAGTGACTTTGATTCTCGGAAACGACATTTCGTATCATGATTTTAAGTTTGCGGGCGCTCTACTCACTCACTTTCGATGTGCAGAAGCAAAATGGAAACAGGCGGAGCAGGTGGATGTCTTGAACCCTTCCTGCTCGACGCCAGTCGGCAAGCAATGCAGCAAGCAGCAGAGCCAGGTGGAGAACTAGCCAGCACAAGGCTTGATCATTCCATGACCGTAGCTTGCCAGGCCGCTAAGCCTAGTTGCAGCAAGGCTGGGACGGCTGGGGCTAGAAGCGGCGAAGCCGAACCAGAACCTAGATGACACCTCGAGCCATCCACCCTGCAAGGCCGCAAGCTGGGAACTTAAGAACGTGTACAGAGCTTGAAAGACCTGAAAGAAGCCTGACGTCAGATGACCCTCCAAGGCTTCGTCCGAGTCTGCAAATTCTCTACTATGGAGAAAGAAAGTGCCCTCGTGCACTTGCAAGCTCTTCCCGGGATCCCCTCGGAAGTCCAGCTCCGAGGTCCTGACACAAGCGCGCGACTGTTTCACTGTTCTCATGCAGTTGGTATGCGAAGTTTCTGCCGGTTTACCTGTTCATCTCGCGTGATCTGTAAGCTGATGCTTTCGATTCTGGGAGAACGAGGCAGCGACTCTACTCTACTACATATATAGAACCTTGGCACCCCGACATGAGTCACGAAAGGATCAGACTAGAAAGCTGCCGGACCTTAAAGCCTCTGCAAGCACCTAGCAGGGAAGTGTTGCTTTCTTGCCTCTACCGCAGGAGTGCCATCGCCAGCACCGAGATCGCGACTCGGAGCACCAGCCTGGCAGAAAAATGACAAAAAGCATTCAGAGAAGAAACAAGACATGGGCTCATCTGTTCTTCTTGTCTTCTACGAGTCATATAGACTTGCCGGACTTGCCGGCGTGCTGCTATGACATAAACTATACCAGGGGTGGACCACCACGCGATCTGGGTGGCTTAGTCACGCGACCCATGGACTGATGCATGCTAACAGGTCTCTGTCTGCTGGCTATCAATCCCTGCCTAGTGTTGTCCTGCATTTCGCCCAGCACGGTTCTCTTGACGTTTGGTCATGCTTGCAATGCTTGCTTGCTTTATGGCCAGTGTAGGGTAGGATGTTACATGTTGCGTGGTGGATTCACGCAGGTTGGACACCGCATGCACTGAAGGGCCAAGTAGTACTAGCGCGATGCTTCTGGGCAGATAACATCAACTACATGACGTTTGAACATCTTTTCGATGGTCGTCTCGGGCACGACAAGACGAGAGGATCGAAGTTAGACACCGCGAACAACAGCAGCAAGTTGCACAAGCAGCTTCACTCTACTGATACGACAGGCTAACTGACAAGAACACACGTCTCCTGAACGAGAAGAGAACATCAGGAGCTTACCTTGTCTGGCCTTGTACTAACTTAACGTGCACACCTGCTGTACAACACACAGGATACGCGGAAAGTTCCTGGCACTATGAGCTGAGGAAGACAACCACGACAGCGCTTGGGACGAAGGAGAGGGCCGAAAGCGCAACGGAGCTGACCGAAAGAGACTACTGACCAGCCAAGGAGCTGAGACAACAATCCCCGAGCGTCACCCTTGTATAACCACTTGGCAAACTGTTGCCGGTCGAAATACACTTAAATAGAGAGCACTGTGTGAGAATCAACCGGTGTGCACCGAACGACAGGAAACAGTTACAGAACGAAACCTGTCAAAGTCAATCTTAACACCCTGGCCCTGGTCCGTTGCACTGCCTGTCTCGTGCAAGGCTGGAAATAAGTCCTTCCTCAGCAATGGCAGTGCAGCAAAGGAGTCTGCCACACTCTGCGGTCTATCTTGCCACTGCTCGTCGACCCCGTGAACGTCTCAGCCAAGCATCCGTGGTTTCAGGAAGGGTAGAGCTGGTGCTGGTGGGCTCCTGGTTGCGTCAAGCCAACAATCCACTCCCAATGCCTCTGGCCCGAAGCTCCAACAACACCAAGGCAGAGAATTCAATCAGCTTGATCCAGTAAGATCTGACATTGCAGGGACGAGTCTTCCGCTCTGCATCGAAGCTCAAGCAGCGCAGTCATGCTCTTGCTCTAGCCCGCTAATGCGTTTTGCGGAAGTGGCCCTGCTTGCCAAGTCTCCAATGTCGAGTTGGCACCGTCACCATCCTGGCTGAGCAATGGCCCAAAACACGGAACTACAGAATTGTCGCACAGACATTTGTCCAAGGTGAAAGCGCTTACTGATGAGTTAGCAGACCATCTCCAAACGGGTTTCCACCTCGGAAGCCGACGTGGTTGAGGTTGTCGTCGTCGTGGTGGACTCCTGAGCAACAGTACTATGATACAGTGACATATCAAACATGAGAGTTGCGAGCCAACGCTCACCTACCTCCAAACCGTGCGACCGAGGCTCTTGGCTCGTGGTGCTGGTGGTCGTCGTGGTCGTCGTGGTCGTGGTGGTGGTCGTGGTGCTCGTAGTGGTCGGGGTCGTGATACCCTTGGCTTGACAAACCTCAAAGCCTCTCCGCGTAAACTGCTGCAGAAGCTCGCTAGCTTTGCTGTGCAGCACAGCCACGAGAGCCGCCTGGCACGCACTTTCAGCACTATGGGCGCAAACAATCACAGCCTAGTGCATCTTTGTTGCTTACAGTTGTGCGGCTGTCTTCTAACAGGAAGTGCGAAGGCTGGTTAGACATGTCGACTTGGCCCTAGCGAAGCTTTCTGGTGACGAGCAACGATGTTGGCACTTGGCATTACATCTCCCTGCAACTGCTTCAGTTGGCGATGGAGAACACCAAGCATAGTCATGAACAAAAGACCACCCTGAAGTCCAAGACCTGCCCAAGATCCAACCCATGAGTGCGAAAGCTTACCATACCGTGGCGCTACGATGGGGAGCAGGAAACACAGGACTGCAGCAGGAGCACGAGTGTTGGAAGCGGACATACGAGCCACAACCAAAATATGCGTGTCCCGACAGACGAGCAGCACAGTTGAAAGAGCGCGGCTTTAGCCGAAAACTGGTACAGATTTCAGTTCCTCTGGTTCCTGCAGTCCTGCGTTCCTACGGTCTTGCCGCCTGCGGTTCGTGCAGTCATGAGAAAAATGTGCATGCTCCCTCCCAGCATGTGTACCTCGTGTGAGCACTGCTAAAGTACCACTAGTTGTTTACTCCTGACCGTAGTAGCCACTGATACCACCGGTCTCTCCTCCTCCTCTTCCTCCCCTCCTCTTCCTCCTCCTGATTCGCACAACAGCACTATGAATCATAGTAATGGTCCCACTTAAGTGAATGCAATCTTCGCTGCACCCTAATGCTTTCCTTTAGTTGCAATTACCGGACCCGACCCCGCGATATGCCGCACAGAGCCATTCCTTCTTTTAGGCAAGCGGGTCAGCATTCGGGATAGACTATGCATCAGACTGTGTCAGAAATGCAACCGGGGAAGATGCACAAGAGTCCTACAAGTATAGGTTTGCTAAAGCCTGCGACGAACCCATTTTCCTCGAAATCTATCAACATGCTACCGGAGCTAGTCAGGGACTAGTTTTGAGACACAATGAGGACATCTTGCAGAAGGGCCGCGGCAACGCAACCTCAACGGATGTGTATTGAAGTCCTTTAGCAGTATACTATCTTATACGAGAAATATACGATACTATCACATACTATAATGTACTCGAATGCACTGCTTAAAGGAAGCGGCCTTCGTCTTCTCTTGGACTGCCTCGACCCGTGACTTGACGGTGCGGGTTTTGGAGGTCATGGCCACGCCGGCCTCCATCGCGGGATAATGTTTGGTGTAACAAATATCATATGACAAGAATCTTGTCAAGGGATATTCGATCTAGGAGTGGGGTCTCTGCTCAAGGGGGCCCGAGAGAGGGATTGTCGTCAAGTTGGTCCTCTTTATGGTAACGGGGCGTCACCTGCACTTATATGAACATCAACAGTGACAACCAACGCGATCGGCAGTACCAGCACCAGCATCACTGTCAGCATGGTCATAAGCAGCATCGTCAAATCCAGCCGATGCTACTACTGCTACGACTACTACCACTACTGCAACGACTGACTACTACGAGTCCTACGACCACCACTACTACTACGACCACTACGACAACAACGACAACAACGACCACTACGACTACTACGACTACTGACTACGACTTCGACTGCTACGACTGCTGCTGCTGCTGCTGCTGCTACTACTACTACTACTCCTCCTCCTCCTCCACCTCCTCCTCCTGCTGCTGCTACTACTACTACTACTACCACCACTACCTCCTACTACTGCCTACTATCTACTATCTAGTATCTACTATCTACTATCTGCTATCTACTATCTGCTATCGACTATCTACTATCTACTATCTACTACCTACTACTGCTACTACTACTACTGCTGCTGCTGCTACTACTACTACTACTACTACTGCAACTACTACTGCTACTGCTCGTGACAGTGTACTGCGACATGATTTAGCTATGCTGGCTGGTCGCGACTGGCACTGCGAGTCTTATCGACACCAGGCTCAATCTCACGTGCTCATCAGTATGGCGCACTCCAGTGGGACATTCCATACGTTCGAAACTTCTCATCTGCAACTGTCCGCAGTGCCCAAGATGAGGACATTCCCTAAGCATGGACACGACTTGAGAACCATCTGGTTCTCGAGCCTACCTCCACCTCACCGACGGCCCGACCATCCCAACTTTGCATCTGTCTTCCTGTGTTCTCCCAGAATCGCGAGAAACAGGCCGCGGCCTTGGTGTCAACGTTACCCATGGAAGAGAGGGCGCTGACCATGCCAGCGCTGCTGCTCTTTACCTGACAACCGAGGGGCTTTACACAAAAAGCATTTACGATGGAGAGGATTGGTGTAGTGCTTTTGCCGTTGCCATAAGTCCCGAACAGCATCTTGTACCAACAGTGCAGAGCAATGGGATTTAGCGCGAACGGCTCAAGTGCACTAGCGTTCGCTGTGTTGCTTCTAATTTCACCTGGTCCACATGTCAATAGCGTCTGTTTCTTGTACACATCTTGATCAAAGGGTGGCCACCTGCTTCTTCATCTGCTCTGCCACTGCCTCCGGTGACACAGTTGTAGCTCCTGGTCATGTTGGATCAGCTTGTGCTTATCCTGTCCACAAAGAAACAGGTCGTCCATGTGCGGCTATCAACTGGTGAACTGCAAGGTCCTGCATTTGAGATGCTGTACCTTGGCTTGCTCTTCAAGACAATTTGAAGCTAAGCCCAGATGCCAAGCGCAAGCGCCCCTTCGTCACTCGCAGTTTAACGTCAGCTCGGCGGCGAGAGCACCGAGCCGCTTCCGGAGAGCCAGCGGCCAAGACGGCGCGAGCCGCCCTTGAGAGCCAGCGTGGATTGGAGCCTCGGACTCGCCGAAGGCTTAGGGCCGGGCGGTGCATATCGTCCGGCCCACAACTTGAGGAACAAGTCCGAGATGCGTGGCCCAATGGCAGGGATGCTCATGCTCGTGCAGGTTGATGTTGATCATCATGATGATCATGATGATGGTGATGATGATGATGATGATGATGCCGACGATCATGTCGATGATGCGGCTTATGATGATGCTACTGGTGCTGGTGCTGGCAGCGGCAGCAGCAGCAGAAGGTGTTGGTGATTGTAGCGCTTACGCTTAGGATGATGATGACAAACAAGCCACGACCACTGTCGTCACCTCTTGCCAACGAGGGAGCCCACTCGGCAGCTGCAACTGCGCGTTCAGCAAGACCCGGGCGTCCTGCACGATTTTCAGCAATTTCCCAGTCACAACCGTGGCGAAACGATTTGCATGCAGAAAGTCGTCCCGATGCTCCTCGGACTTGCCCTGGGCATCCGCACTGGTCCTGATGAGTCAGGGCTTGATCGAAGGCCGGAAAAGCACAGCAACACTTGTCGAAAATAGGGACAAGAAAATGCTGCAGTGGCTATCTATCTGTGGACAGCAATTTCGGCGTGACAGTCTGCTGAGCCCTGTGCGTCTCTAGCGTCAAGATCCTTGGCTTGAGTGCGGAACATGTCTTCGACTTATGATTTCTGGCTGCTAAAGGACCCTGCCAACGAAGCCGGGAGTCACTGTGGACGACTGCTGCTCTCCGCTGCTGATGGCCGTAGTATTACTGCTTCCGGCGTTGTATAGGTCCTGGATAGGGCAGGTCATGGTCAATGGTACCCTCGCTCGGTGGACGAAAAGGCATACAAAAAAATCAAGCAACGGATGGAAGTCCTGGCACTGCTTGCCCGCGGGGATCACGGATCCAGACGGACCTTTTGCATGCGCTGAGGCTTTCGCGCTTCTTTCGCTTCTCGTTTGCTTCTATTGAGCTCCCGACACTTCTTCATATTCCGCCCTGGAAGGCACCTCTCTGGCCGCAGGCAGCCTCGGTGAACGAGTCGGAAGAACTTCGAGGAGCCGCGGGCCGCGAGCCGCCCAGGAGCTAATGGTTTCGGCCTGGAATTCGCCAGCGTCCGTAAGATGAGTCCTTACATGCCAGGGCATGGAAGAGTCGAAGCGTCGCTATCAGATCTATAGTCTATCAGTGCGATCCAGAGGTTGTTTGGCGCTTCGCGCTGCATCAAAAGCCATGGCTCTGGATGCAAGTCTTGTTGCCGGCAGCTTCATCAGCTGGCGTACAGGGCTTTGGGCACTGGTTCAGCAGCGTGCCTGAAACAGGTTCAACACAGCGCACTAGTCGCATGCACATTCCTCGCAGCTTTTGCCCTCATGCCGATACAAGCGGCTGGCGGTGCCTGCATACAATGTGCAGGACAGCACTAAGCAAAATTATGTGTGGAACCATGCATGTCAATCAAAAAGCCGTCAATAATTAGAGCGGATGTGCAAGTATAAATTAGTGATATGCCGAAATGCAAAACAAACCCGAGCGACAGCAGAAGAAACGATCTTTAAGCCACGATACCGCTGAACTTCGGGTTGCAGATGTTCGACTCTGCATCCTCGCCAAAAGCAAAAAGGCCATGCTTTTCAGAGAAGTCTGAACCGTGAATCCTCCAACAACCTGCCTCTGGCCGAGACCCGAATGCAGGCACGGGCGCGAACACTAACTCAGTTGAGACTCGTTCGGATCTGGACACGTCAGCCTTAGCCCAAGGCATCTGATGCTGACTGCTCCATTTTCACGCGGAACCCATCAGAAAGAAGCCTCTAATCTAATGTGCACAACCTAATGTAGCTCTGTACAATCATAGGAACAGAAAGGTTCATCGAGAACAACAACCACCACGGACCACCGCCGCGCTGCACAACCAGAAGAAGAAGAAGAAGGGAGTAGCAGCAAAGCTCTAAAATGCAGACAACAGCCCCTCCTCCGTATGTTCTACGCAAACAGTGCAATCACTTCAAATACCCAAACACACAAAATGCAATCGTCCGCGCGCAGTTCCATAGTTTTTCGTCATCACCAGCATCATCGCCCGAGCGCCTGCATTCCCCAACTCTCGGTGTCCTTCCAATCCCCGAGCCCTTGTTGGCACTTCCTGTAGTTGGCCTCTGCGAAAAGAGGCAGAACATGGCAGACTTCTCATGGCAGGACTGCGACCTGGTCACGTGTTGTTGCCACAGGGGCATTTCGTGCTCCGGCTGACACAAACTGTGGAGAGTCCAGCAACTTTGCCTGCCCGTGGGACATTGCGTGTGATTTTGTAACCCCTAACTTTGGGAGTAGCTGCTACCTCTTTTCTCATCCTGCTTTTCCTATGCAGCCTGCTCCAAAGCATCAACACTGCTGCGCATCTTCTGACGAGCCTGCTGCTGTAAAGTCTCTGACGTCGCACTGCTTCTGGGACTCAAGACAAGGGCACAGCACCTGCGTCTGAGACCTGATCAGAGACTGGAATGAGCCCGCATACAGGAAGGCGTACATGAACCTTGCGCTATCTTGCGCTGTAGGGGCCTGCCTATTCAAACGGCGAACTCGCTTCGGAGTAAAGCCGCAATATTGCCGAATCCGAAACCATTTCTGCTCAGGAGGACACGTCGGCAAGCACAGGTTTTCGCCGGGGCATCGACGTGTGTTCCTTGGTAGTAGGTCTCTGACTGGGAGGTGCTACAATGTGCTACAAGTAGTTGGGCAACTAGCGAGCCAATTGGGCCGTAGACACAAAAACTGTGCCGAGCATCTTGCCACATGGGCATTTAGCATCCTCCGCCACACAGACTTCGCGCTCGCCTCGACATCCGCAGCGGACAGCCAGCTCGGCTCTGTTGATGAGTGAAACTGGGACCCGTGCCGAGGAAGTCTTCGTTCTCGGCGAAATCATAGACGAAGCACTTCTTTTCGTTTGCTTTGCACGTAACCGGGCAGAGCTCGTCCTGACATGAAAGGACAGTTTCGAACCCCAAGCCGCTTCGACACCAACAATCAACAACCGATTCCGAACTCCCAGCATTCACTCAAGCGGTGCATAACGGCAGAGGACAAGTGGCTAGACTCCGGCTAGACGCTGAGCCTTGAAGATGCAGCCCATGAATCCTCCACAGTTCCTGAGGTGCTCGAAAGACAAGAACCAGGTTTCTTTGAGCTTGGAACTTCCCTGGGCCGGGCGGCTTTGCCATCTTCCCGCAGGGACATGCTTCGAGGCTAGCTGCGCAATGAACCGCGGGCTGCGAAACGCCTGCAAGTGAAGGTAGGCCCAGGCCAGGTAGGCTTCTTCTGTCGTGATGAAGTTGACGTCAGGACGCCATGGCACTGTCCCTCAGTGCCTGCCCAAGTGCCATCGGGCCGGTAGTCCTCCCGGATTCGCGGTATGCACAAACGATGAGGTCTCAGACAACAGCTACGGTCCGCAAACCCTCAAGCGAATTTCTCCCCCCGGTCATCCACTTCAGGGCACTGAACTTGCCCAGCGCTGCAGGTAGGAGGGCAGTAGCCTGCAGCATGGAGGGCTGGACAAGTGCACAAAGGATGGGAATGCAAGATAGTGCAATACTATCCTCTTTGCATTGAATGGAACGTATGGGGGAGTGTGTCTCAGTGCTTCCCGTTTCCCGGTATCCACGAGCTGCTCTAAAGATTTGACTCACAAGAACTGGTGGCCCTAGCTGAAGCATCTGAGAGGAGCACCACCATTGATGGGGAGGCACTCGGTGAATGTCACCCCGGCTTCCTGCCACAAATTGCAGGCACCGAATCCAACAAAGGATTCGTTCCGTTTGATTTGCGGTACCCTTGCCCAGATAACACCTTTTCACCATATAAGCCATATTAATATACCGGACCAAACCGTGCCAACTTCAAATCCCAGTACAACGGCAAATCGAACTAGCATGAGGTTGTCATTGTGGTGTGTTGACAACCTTTCTGTCCGCACGATTGATTACATGGGTTGACTGAAGTCCTTACGACACGCACAGCGTAATGCACGATTTCCAAGCTTGTGAATTACGACAATAGAGCGGCTTCATGTATCTCAGTAACATATCAAGATATAGCAGGCTTAGCGACATAACTTCATATAACTCTTGAAACCTGGGACCTGGGTGCACATCATATTAGTGTGTCTGTGATCGCTCATACTGCTTAAACTTCTGAAGTTTGTATTGTTTCGACATCATGACTCCGCACTGAGCAAGTACCCGATTCCCCCTACTGCTATCCTATCTTGGCATGGGTTTCCACTAACTTGTTCCGCGGTCCGCTCCTAAGATCCTAAGGCGAGCTGCGGTAAGAAAAAAAACTTGCCCAGGCACTGTGTGGTTGCAGGAGAAGGCATTCTGACCCTTGGAGCAGTCACAGTACGCTCCCCGTGGAACCTGGGATGCAGGGATCACTGACACGGAGGCGACTTGGCCATCAGAGGAGTACATTGCGTGCTCGCCGGGAGCCGGTGAGTGACACGGTGGGAAGATGTGGGAAGGGTATGGAAGGGTATTACCTAAGAGATTCCACCCGAAGATTACGTCGGCTTGCCTGAAGGACACATTGCGAGGGCATACCGGCTGTCAGGCTGCATGGATGCGTCCATGGATGTCAGCTAGAGCTACGCAATGCCAGAGGTGAGCCATTGGTGGCGCTAGGCCGTTATGGACCGATAGATCCATGGGCGCTATGTGCACTATGCACCTAGGCTTGATGACTTGTCGCTTTGACTTGGCCCGAGAGGCACAATGTTTCTCCACACTGGCCCAGTCGCCATTGGCAGTAAAGCCTTCCAGCAGCTGCAATTTGGAGAACTTCCAACAAGCTCATCAACAAGCTAGACAAAGCTTGGAGACTTCGAGCTGGACAGCGGAAACCACGAACGGGAAATTTGCACTTGCACGACACGTCACACAGAAGCCAGGCAACTGTCAATGAAGCATATGTCTTGGTCCGCCGTGCAGAAGACAGGGCAGCGCATGGCACCTGACGAAGCCGGGATCGAGTTACATCTGCCGCAACTGATCTGCATCACTTCCAGAACTAAAGTCCGCCATACCCGCGACTTCGTTGTGGTCACAGTACCCCTAACAGCCCTACTTCGCAAGAGGTGGCGCTCTTTTTCCTGCGGCAAACGACGGAGTCACGAGCACAGCCTTTCCACGACAGTTTCAGGAACGGACGAGCTCGTGGGCGTTGAAGTATCGCGACATCGCGTGGACCTCTTCGCACACCCTCGCAATCCCTCGCATCACGACCCCACAGATGACAGCTCTGCTCATCTCAACCACCGCCTCACGAAAGCAGGCATGGTCGGCTTCACGCAGGGATGTTTAACGGGGATTAGCAGATTCGCAGGCTGCTGGCGCATGGACACAGTGCCATGATGGCTCGAATTCAGTTGATACCTGTTTGCTGGCGCGCCTCTTGTAAATGCCCTGCTCGACCAAAGCCTCAAGTGGAAGCTTCCGCACCTTTTCCATGTCTGCAGTGGTGATATCCCGGCCGAGGACAGACATCCAAGGCATGCCAAGCTGTCCTGCCGTCGAACAATTAGTTACTCAATTACTCCTCCTCGCCCTGCAGCTGCTCCGATGCTGCGTGCTATAGCCGACGACGGCTCTTACTATTGCCACTATTAGTACGACTACCCGACACGGGGTGTTAGCACCTCCAATTAGAGTGTTCAAAGCTCTTGCAAAGAATGGAATGTGCAACTGCAGGTAAAAGCCCAGGTCAGATCCGGCGGCGAGGGACGCGGAGTGCTACCAGTACCACGAGCACAGTACCACTTCAGCCACCACCACCACCACCACCACCACCACCACCACAAATACCACCACTACCACCATCACTACCACTAACACTACCACAAGCACGAGCACTGGCACTACCACTACCTGCTGCTGGCGCCTAACACTACCTACCACTACTAATTATTACGACGACGACTGACGTAACACCAGTACCAACTCCATCGCCACTGCTAGTCTGACCACTACGGCTAGCAACGAAAAGAGTGCTGTCAAGATATTGACACTTCGCCGCTGCATGCTCAAGCTGCTGCAAAGAATCACTGCTAGCATGACCCGCGATTCTTCCACGAACTGCACTACCGCTCGAGGTCCGCTGGGCTAGTTTTGAGCTCCTGCGGTCTTCGAGAAGCCGCTTCCACAGCCGTCGTTGCAGTTGGTCCCCGGGCTCGGGCTAAGCAGGATCCCGCTCAAGGCCAGGAGGTACCAGTCTGCGTAGACCTGAGGGACGGCTCAAATCCCAGCACCTGAGTGATCTTGAACCTTTCGAATCCGGCGGGTCCTTCTGGATCTCGAGAAAGCTGGCTTTCTTGTCGGTGGAGTGCACTGACAGGCCCGGATTGGACAAGACCTGACAAAGCCAGGTCCGCAGAGTGGAATTTCTGGGTTTCTTCCGGTCTCTTGCGTTGTCTTGCCTTGAAGGCGAGCTTCCTCTTCGTCACATCCACCGCCTTCGCACTGTCGCTTGCAACGAAAACCACTGGCTGAGCCTGCCGGGAGGGACGTGGCTTCCGGTGCTCGGTACGCTGGGCTTTTCCTTACTCTGCAATCCGGTGGCGTCCAGGGGTCTCAGCGCCCAGGACAGCGTCTGCAGCAAGCTGTTCACGTGGACCAGATAGTACTGGAGAGGAACCTGCAACCGCTGGTCGTCGTCGGCGCCGGAAACTCTTCCGAGCTCTTTGCTCATTCTCGTGTCCCCCATCCTGATATGGATGCCCACCAGGAAAGCCTCCAGCTACGAGGCGAGTCGAGAAGCTACCAGGATAGTATATGCTACTGACATGCCACAAACCTGCCTTCGTAGTTGCCAGCTCTTTCAAAACAGGATGCAGGAAGCGGAGCATGTCCGGCTGCGGATCGCCCATAGCAAATCGCATCGCGCACTTGCCGAAGAGCTTGAATTTTCTTACGATGACCATGGCCCTGGCCTGATCATACCCACTCCATCCATTCGAGCTCAACTGCCGCATCATTCGGTTTCTGCACTCAAGTGGTACCATGTTCCCCAGAGTCCGAAGGTTCTTGCTTCCAACTCCAAGGAAGAGGCTTGCATTCGGGGAGAGCTTCCAATATGAAGGTGAATTCAAGATATTGATGCTCGAGTATCTACCAGAGTAGACATCCAAGAAATGGGCGTTGCAATCATCTTTGTCCCGGAACTTGGTGTGGAACTTATCTGCTTCTACGGTCGCTCCCAGCTTCTTGAGCAAGGCCTTTGTTGTGATGTTTGAGACTTGCATCGTTTCGGGCCGGTGCCTGGAGTGTAGGAGCTTGAAAAGTGGACCATCTGAGGTCAGCAAGATTGGCCGTCGCAGCATCCATGCTACCATGAACTTGACCTGCCAAAACATGATGCTGCTGAGTCCTCTACTGGCAGGGATGGGAATCACGATAGCAGTCTTCCAGTTGGTCTCGCTAGCGCCTGGCACTGAGCCTCTCCATGCATAGTCTCCGCATGCGACCTGTCCCCTGAATGAATAGCCTTTGACGACGGGAAGCTCCTCCCAGAGGGTTCCTGCGCCGCCTTTGCTCGGAGCCCTGCTCTTGCTCTTACCGTCGTGGATGGGTAGCGGAGGTCCTGCGATTCCTGTGGCACTTCCTGCGGCTTGCAGAATCCTGTTTGAGACAGTTGAAGGACTCTGAGTCGATGTGGCCCACGTGGAAATCGTTGATGTGGGCGAGAACAACTTCGGTAAAGACCGCTCTTCAAAAACCTTGCTGCCGATGCCTGGATTTACCATCCGGCGGAGGCTATCGTGCAGGAGCACCTGAATAGTTCAACGAGATATGCGGGGCTTGAACGACGGGCTTTAGACTGGGCTTTCGTATGCAAAAAACTGCTAGGTCAAATTCCTTTCTGCAACGCATGTAGGATCGCAAGGCACAAGAAGCCACAGAGCTGCTGTCCCACATGCCAAGCCAACAGCCACCCTGCACAGCATGCCGCGGGCTTCCCAGAAGCCTCCACGGCAAACATGCGCAGCTCATGTGCAGTCGGTCTTCGATGGCGAAGAGGCTCAGGGCATTTTCATGGCGGCACGGCACCCTAGCTGATTCCGCTCGTTATGGCCAAGCTCTGCGGCTCCCAAGAACACACACACACACACACGAACGACTGAAAAGGAATTCTTCACTTTGTTGAAACATCAACAGACCGTGCCTGTAAAACCCGAAGATCCTCTGCAAGCCTACGTCAGCATTTCAGGCAAGATGCTGTTCGTCTCGCTGTCCCAAAGTGGGTAGCAATAGTGATCGTCCTGAACTGTCAAAAACAATCCCCTTTATCGGAAGGCCTGCAGTCTGCATTGTTGTAGGTTCGTCGCTATGATCGGAGCGACAGCAGCGTGGCTACTCGGCTCAACCATGCCTGTTCTACGTCTACATCGTCATGTCATTTCCTACCAAGCGGCTGCAAAAGGGTCGTAGCATCGCTGGGAGTTCGTACCGCACAGACAGGGGTTGGCTCGCTTCTCGCAGACTTCCCGAACTTCTAGTGGATTGCCGCGCTTGTCGTAGTCCTTGTGTCGACCAGTGCACATGGCAGGCACGAGTGTATCTGGCATATGGTGGCCAAACATGAATCAGAAAGGCCTCAAGAACCTCTCAGGCAGATCAAGAGTGCTTTCGCAGACGCAGACGAGCATCCAAGACGAAGCACTTCTTCTCATCTGATGCACAGGTCACAGGGCACGTAACGGTGTTCGGCTCGCAGAACTCCTCCTGCTGCCTGCTTTGCAAGCCCCCGAAAGAGTCCCAAACATTCTGTGTGCTGTCGAACTGAGGCGGAAGCCCGAATTCATCCTCAGCTGGTGCTGAAGGCTGGAGTCATGAACGGAACGGCTCTCACAGAATGACAGTGAAAAGAAGGCCCAAACATGAGACCGACCAAACGTGCCTACTACTTTCTTCACACTACAAAGGACCTGCACTGCATGGCAGTGGGCAGCAGCAGCAACACGACACGATGGAGCCTAGAAACACTTGCAGCTTCTGCAAGTGTCAAAGCCGGTATTGCATCGACTGAGTTGGCACCATGCAGTGAGAGTCTTTTCAAGCTCTGATCCCACAGGTGGCCGGTGGCCCCACAGCTGCGCCAAGCGAGACCGAGATTCGCCTCGAGGCCTGAGTTGATGCTTTCTGGAAAGCTTGAGCCTCTCGAACCGCCTGAATTTTCCTCTGGCCCTGATGACTCCTGGTTTCATGAAGCGACGAGCGCGTCGGAGCTTCACGTGCAGGAACCATCAGCTCGAGAGGAAGCCTGCTTTCTCTTGCTGTCCATGCGCTCTGAAAAGTGCCTTCATGACCAGGTCCTCCAAACCCGGTGTGCATCGTGAAGAAGGACGATCTCGAGCACCGAGTCTTCCTGCCTCCCGCAGCTTGCACTCCGATCTTCGTTTGGTGAACCGACATTGCTCAGCGATGAGCTCTGCGTGTAACATTCGGTCTCCATTTGCTCTGCTACGCCCTGGTGCCGGTCGAGCATTTGAAAGCCTCTGTTCGGTGGCGGCATCGAGACCACCTCTCTTCGAAGGCTGCCGGTTTGCAGTTTGGTCGCTCCATTTGGTTGTCAGAAGCTTTCGCAGTTTCCCGTCGTGACATGTCCCTCCACCACCAGCTGCTTAATCCCATGACTGCAGCGACTTTCAGCTGTGCGCATAAGGCGTTCTTAGGGTGAGCGCTGGATTTCAGCGGCTGGCTTACTCAGTAGCCCTCTCGAAACGATATTCTCTAGAGTGCGAGATGCGCAGAAGCTGCAGCAGTATGACTCAGTATGACTGTCATCTGATGCGTCAGCTCTAAACTGAGTCCAAGCATCCACCCATCTGCACATCTGAGCATTTGCGCCGCAGGGGCACGACCTAATTTGCAATCAGGACATGCTAGTGACTGCTAGCGACTGCTCGATTTTTCACGGAGTCGGGGCCTGAAATGCACTGCCTTTGGCAGCTGAGTCACTTTGACACATTTGCACAGCTCTCCAGAACTGGTGCATTCCAATCAGGTTGGCCTCGCAACAGGCAGTGGGGCATTACTGCGATACTGAAGCAGTATGCTCTATACTGTCTACATTGGGTCTACATTCCATACTGATTCCGTCAGTTCAGGGGCATGCTGCGAAGAGTCGCATGTGTCCTCGCCCGGGCCTTGTGGAGTGTAGGAAAACGGATAGCACATCTTCTCTCGGATTGGGTGGCAGTAGACGGGACACCCGATCGACGCCTCGGAGACTTGCGAAGCCGGAACCCCGGACTGAAGCAGGCTCCCTGTGGACTTTTACTATTGGACCCAGCGTCGGCTTCACAGTATGGCTCGTAGTCGGCTTCGTAGGGGTTTGTGCACTGCGTCGCACCGACTCCGCAAGGGCACGGCTCTGACTTGGGTGCACCTGGGAGACCAGCGGCTTCCTGCTCTGCACTTCCAGCGTACTGCAAAGCACCCCCCTTTTTTTGACACCTCTGGTTCTTGGAGCTGCGAGACTTCCATTTGCAGCCGTGTTACATTGCTCCACAAAGCCGGTCATTCCTCCATTGCCGTCGAAGTTTACCTCGGCGGCCGTCAAGCCCACTACGATTGTCACACAATGTCTGGTCGAAAGTGATGCTGTCGCCAGGGCACAACCCAGCAGTACTTCTGCTCGTCATTGCAGTAAACCGGGCACGATTCAGTCTTGGGAACGCAATGAAAGCTGTCTTCACCGTCTTGGCACCTGTCGAATGTATGCCGCTTGTGCATCGTTCCTTTGGAAACTGGAGGCAGTGCACTGCAAAACTAGCTGAGTCGCGCGGGCACTTCGCGAGACAAGACTACTTCTTGCACGTTGACGCAGCATCAATGGGCTCTAGCAGGTCACTAGCCTCTCGCTTGAACAGTGGATTCCTGCTTCAGCGCTTTGATTGCCGAAGCGGCCTTTGCGCTGTTGCATCATCGCAGACGACCGGACAGTCTTCCCCCTCGTAGCAATACTCGCTTGTCCACTGCCTCAGCAAACGCGAAGCACATGTCAGACGCTAGCGGGGTACAGCCTGGGTCCAGCCCGTCCGCCGAGCTTTCTGTTACATGCCGCGTGCGTTCATTGTAATCAGTTGTTCCACTTTGCCTGCTTTTTGCTGATGTGCACGGTTTGTCCACTGCTGCAAGCATCCTTAATGTGCGGCTCGGTTTTCTGGTAGTCCTCCTTCGTTATTCTTCGACTCTTCCTGGGTTTTGCGTGTCTTTGCCCTCCTCCCGTGCTTCAAAGCCGCATTCCTTCCTTGCTTGCTCCCTCCTCGCTCCCTCACATCCTCCTTCTTACAGAGTAACGACGCTTGCCAGGAGCCGCACCACGCTTGTTTTGACAGATGGCTGGAGCTGTGCCGGCTCTCTTGGCTTGTGTAGCGCTGTCTGCTCCAGAGGCTGGCCTTACCTTGTACTCTGCTACAGGTAGTTTCCGATTATTGCTACATTGTATTGCATTACATCGTCGGAAACAGACATGGCAGGTACTGTCTTATAGCTGACGTGCGCTTGACCCTTAGGTCAGGCAGGTTGCCAGGCACCGTTCGCATCGAAAGCAACAATGCCACAGTAGAGCTCATCGGCCGTGCAGCGCAACGGACACTGCCCGTCTGCATACCACTCCTCGATTGTCAAGGATGACAGGCTTCATCATGCGATGCACTAGGATGCACTAGGTCTACGACTCTCCCAGCACCCGAAAAAATACCTCTGCAACACTGCGATAGACTCTGCTTCGGCCGCGCAACGCTCGGCTCACACTCGTAGAGGTTCGTCTCCTGCGCACGGCACAGCGTGGGACGTGTGGAACACGAAAACCTACTGGAGTCCAGGGTTTACCAGGGCTAAGCTGTGAATTAGAATCTCGACTGAGCCCGGTCCGTGTTCAGGCATCTCAGCTCGTCAGTCTCGCAGTTGCAGCCCGACGTCGTGGCGCAGCTCTGATTGCCTGAGCACAGACTGGCCGGGCTTCGAAACTGCAGCCACCTGAACTCAAGCCGGCACACCCGAGCCGTAGTGGTAGCAGATGCCCAAGTCTCCACAGTCCAGAGGACCTGGAACGAGTATCTATACAGCTCTGAAAGCTTCTTCGATGCTTGCTGCGCAAACGCACTGATGCTGGAATTTCGGTGCAGCTAGGCCCCTCAAGACTCAGGAGCTCGTGGCACTACTTTGTGAGGAAGCGGGCATAATCCGCACTCTGAGCATGGGGACCGCATTGGGGACCAAGGACTGAAGAAAGCTGGTGAGGTTGCAAGAGCAGCACATGATGCCCGTGTATAGCCATGCTCTTATAACTTCTAACCTGCAACCAAAATTCTGAGGCACCGCCTCGGCCCTAAGCCTTTCAGACAAGACACATTGCTCAGACACGGGGATGCAGAACTTGTCCCCTTCGAAAGTGCACGATTTCTCCCAGAGCGTGTTGCAGGGGCAGCCTGCAACAGCTCTCGAAAAAAACTCAAGGCCTTAGGCCTTACAGCCCCTCCTTTACTCCACGGTAGTAGTTACTGGTGCAGCTGGGCCCACCGTCCGTCCGGTCGGCGCAAACCTCCGTCCATTGCCCATCGTGGTCCAGCATGCCTGTGTCCTTGGCAAGCCTAAGTAGACACGACCTGTCTGATTTGACTGTTGGACCAGTTGAAAAGATTCGACAGATTCTAGGGCAGTCTGCCTGCGCGTCTTCTAGGCAACATCTCGAGCGTGGACCGATGTGTCAATGGCAAAGGACGACACAGGCTTGCAGGGGTGCGTGGGGTCTTGAGCCACGTTGCATCATAGGGTGACACCCAGCAGGTAATCCTCAGCAGTCGCTCACTCTTGCAGTCTGTTTGCAGCCCTGAGCAGAGGGCTGAGGGCAGCAGAGGGCAGCAGAGGGCAGCAATTGCAGGTCCAGCTGCTGATCTTCCGTGCAATGCCTTGGAACCGACGGGGACAGGACAAAACGTTTATAGGCTGACCAAAACGCTCCAGGGCACACAGGGCAGGTTCCATAGACCTTGCTCTGGCACCAGCTTCCCACAAGGTCCTGGCCTCAGAAAGCTCACGATTTCAACTGAGCTGTGACGGCCAGTGCTCACCGGGCTCCCTGCAGAGCTCCTCGTGAGTTGGATCACATGGGCAGGGCCTCGAGGCTTCGCGTGCCGACTCTGGAGACGCCCTTGCCATGTCAGGCGCGGGCTGGTCTGCTGGCTGGCAAGACTGGTTGAAGGGCAGCTCGAAGTTTGGGTAGCCTCCACAGCTTAGGTCTTCAAGCCCCTTGCATGCTGTGGAGGCCACGTGCGGAGAGATAGGTTCGGACATCGAAATCAGACAGACGTGCGGACTTCTTTACGCGTGAAGCAGCCATCAAATCGCGGTCATCTTGCAGGGCCGCTTCCGCTGAGCTTCCCACCGTCAGACCCGTACTGGACCTGGTAGCAGTCCTGAAGGGCAGGGCATCTTTCATGCCCCTGTTTGCCACGGAGTCTCGTGCGTCTGACATCTGGGCCACCGCTCACCTGCTCGCTGTCCAGGCAGAACAGCGGGCAGTTCTCATCAACTGGCTGGCACCAGCTGTTTCCTCGAGAGCACTCTTGCACTGGTTGCGTTTGCGGGGTCCACACATTGACATGCATCAGGGTCGCCAAACTCAGGGTCGTGGCACTTCCGCTCATGCCTTAGTCGCATGCAAGGAAGCCTTGGCTCCTCTGACAAATTCGTCGAAAACTCGGACCCGGATCCGGAGCAGCGGAGCACGCCAGCTCCCTTGGCTCAGCCCAGCTGCGTCGGATCGCAAGGGCAACCGCTGCTCTGTGGGGCACAGAACTGCTCGTGTTCCTGACCGCTGGCAGACGACGAAGATTTGGGTGCGATAGACAGGGAGGTACGAGGCTGCATTTTATCGACCTGAGACCACTGTGCACCTAGAAGATTGGGCTTCTGAGAACTGCGTCACAGCAAATCCAGAGAACGGTGCCTGCGAGTAGTCCCGCTCTCCGTCCCTGGGCATTCCAGTCAGAACACGCTCTTGAAAAAGAGCTCTCAGTTCAGGATCCTCTTGCGGCCTAGCTAGGGAGCCTCTGTCTGGGAGAGGCTTTCAAAAGGGCTCTCTCGGGCCGAGGGGCTCCGTGTACTGCCACCGGAAGCAGTAGATCTCGGTGCCTCGGCAGCTCGGCCCAGAGCCCAGAGCCCAGACCACACAACCGGCTTATGCAGCCCTGCAGAAAAAAACAAGAAATCCTATGACTGCCGAGGCTCTGTTGCAGATCACGGGACACTCTCCGGCGTCTTTTGGCATGCACCAGCTCGAGAACTGATCCTGCGGGGCAGTGAGTTGCGGGTAGAACATCAAATCTGCAGGCAAAAGCCTTGCTGCTGGCTGGCAATCTAGAACCTATAGCTATGTTTCCTGAATGTCGGTCCTTGCATGTGTGCTCGTCCTCGTCACAGGCGACTTCCTCAACGCCTGGAAGTTTTCGCGAAGCCAGAACGGCGGACACGAACGATGCAGGCAGCAACGCAAGCTGAAGCGCGCAGTGGCGAGTGAGAACTTAGCACATAGCCGAAACGCCTACCGAAAGAGTCAAGAGTCGCGAACAGTCAGCTGCAAAGTCTGCCAACTGTATCTCGGACAAGCAGCAGCCATGGTCTCTGCGCTCGCAGAACTTGATGCCGAAACCTCACACAGGCGGCAGCATTGAGACTTAAAACAAAACAGTGGCCCGTAGAAGCTCCCTTGGTAACTCGACCGAGTAAGGGCTGGCAGTCCAAGGGCCCGGCTTTCGCACTCCACCTCCCAGTCCGAGCTGCAGGGACATCCTCAAGAAACCCGACCCCCAAGGCTGGTATGGTCAGAGCACCCGAGTATGCGGTGCTGTGCTCAGTTTCTGTGGCCTTCTGCGTCCGTGCTGCAGGTGGGCGGAGCATTCCAAGTGCGCTCTTCGTCAAGCTCGCCTGCGGCTGGGCTCAAGAGAGAGCCAGCAATGTGAGAATACAGAGGAAGGAGGGAGAGAAACAGAAATAGCGAGAGAGTGAGAGAGGGAGTCACGGAGCAAAGCGAGCAAGCGAGACATCGAGGGAGGGAGGAGGCGAGGGTTAGATTCGGGAATACAGGGAGAGCAAGGGAAGGAGCGGGAAATCGAGGGAAACGGAAGTGAGAGAATGACGAAGAGAGAGCACAAAGACAGAAGAGCGGTATGAGGCCAGGGCCAGGGAGCAAAACGAGCAGCACTGAGAAGGCATGCATAGGGTTTAGGGTTAAAGGGGAGGGTGAGGCTGCAGGAACGTGTGCTTGGACCAAGCAGCCTGTGGAAGTGTAGAAGTTCTCGTAGCAATACCTCGATTGGCTCATCCGATGAAGGCCTACACCCAGCTGTGTGAAAGCTCCACGAAGGCCGGCCAAGGCTCCGCTCCTCGCAGAAAACGGGCTCGCCTGGTCTCAGTTTCGGGGAGTCATCTACTACCAAAGTGGCCACCAAGTGGCCTTCACAATCACCACCGTCCCATCCGCACCTCGGTACAGGGATCAACTGAAGAAACCAATCTACTCCCGAAACGCTCACTCGTCGATGTACCACTACCACGCCGCTGCAAGCTCACAAAGGCAGTGCAAGCCCAGGCACGCTTCCGTGTTACAGTGGTCATCGCAGATGGAATTGCCAAGCATGTTCTGCTCGCAGTCGCACACCTCAGCCAGCGCCAGAGATGTTCGGCCATGTCGACCCGGGACACCTTCGAAAAACCGTCAAAGCCTTCTCGCAAGGATTCTCGATATCGGGCACGAGCATCTTGCACAGCTCGAGGACAACTTCAAAGCCTCCGAGCAAGCTCGAGGCAAGGCCCAAAGCCGGGCATGTGAGGGATGGGGCTCCTTGTATGTAGTGGCAGCAGTGCTCGCGCTTGAAGCACTCCAGCAGCCCTGGCGGGGCGTCGGCTCAGACGAAGGCCCTGGATCCCTGGTTGCCCTCTTTAGCCCTCTTTTTCGGCTCCGCCTCGAGTAAAGAGACTCCTACTACAGCGGCTTACAGCTCCCTTTCAGAGGCTCGCATCGGCTCAGCTTCCTTCTGGTCCCTGCCCATCCTCCGACCAGGAAAACGATGAGAGTGCGTCACTGATCTACTGCTGCTGGTGGATGGGGATGGCGAGGGGCCGAAAGGATGATGAGGACGAGGACGAGGACGAGGACGAGCATGAGGATAAGGACAAGGATAAGGATAAGGATGATGATTATGATGATGGTGGTGCCGGTGATGATGATGATGATGATGATGCCGGTGATGATGATGGTGATGATGATGGTGATGATTATGTTGGTGATGGTGGTGGTGATGATGATGATGGTGATCGTGATGGTGATGATGAGGATGAGGGTGAGGATGAGGAGGAGGAGGATGCTGATTGTGATCATGATGATGGTGATGGTGATGGTGATGGTGATGGTGATGGTGGTGGTGATGGTGATGACGGCGGTGGTGGCGGTGGTGGTGGTGGTGGTGGCGGCGGTGGTGGCGGTGGCGGCGGCGGCGGTGGTGGTGGTGGCCGCGGCGGTGGTGGTGGTGCTGGTGATGATGATGTCTGTTCGGGTTACTCATCTAGCTTGAGCGAAGTTGTGTTCGGGGATCGCGAGCATACTTGCAAACACCCGTGACCTGGGGGAAATGCTACTGTCACGAGAGAATCACTACTAGTACAACCCAGAAAGAACCCTCCTGAACCCGAAGTCGCGACCACACTACCGGACAATGGATTATTCATGTCAACAAGCACAGGACCAGGAAGGATTGCACAAAGGCGATAACATCGCCCTTCGATTTCCCTTACTTCATCAGCTTTGGGTAGCTGCTCGCCAAGCGGCAGCCGCTGCTCCAGTTCGAAGGCCTCTCCGCAATGGGCAACACCGAAATGGGAAATCCAAACAAGGCAGGTCACCGAAGCAGCCAAAGCCCTTTTATGGCGTCCACTTCAACTCACAAGGCCTTCGCATAGAGCAGCTCGCCCATGGAGGAGCCATGATCCATCAGCGGCGAGGAAAGCACTGCCAGGATCACAAACACCCAGGACAGTATGGTCCTTAGTCTCCACAAGAGACCAGGACTAAGACTTGAGCCCTAGCGTCGACAAAGAGCACAGAACAAAGACAGCTCTTTCCGAGCTAGACAGGTGTCAGGGTCTCCTTGGGCACATGCTCCTGCTTGCATCCAATGGCTGTGATGACCATGGCGAATTCGCTGATCTGCGAGAGGTTGATGGTGGAACGAGTTGCAGGTCCAAGCTCCCCTCCGCAGCCATAGATGGGACAGAAAACGCCCACCCAGCGCGTTGCCATGACCACCTAAACCGTGGCTCTGCTGAATATAAACTGAATCGCTTACATCAAGAAGGCTTGTTGACATTAACCAGAGTGCAAACAGCTCTGGCCAAGGTAAGCAAGGCCTTTTTGGTGTAACCAGCGCAGATTACATTCAGCAGAGCCACCACCGAGACGATGCAAGCACAGCAGAAGACATGCTTTGTGGGGCACGGGATTTGCATACCTGAGTACACAAGAGTCTCGAAGGGCTGGATGATTGCTCCACTGCATCCTATGTCCTGCATTGTCGCATGTACTGGAGTGTGTCAGTTCCGGTTCCCTAAGTTACAGGGAGTCCGCCTTGGTCACCACTGCCCCCGAGTTGCCCAGGGAAACAAAGTACAAGGTTACAAAGAAGTCACGGATGTGGCGGATGGTCTTGCTGATCGCTGGTGTACCAGGGGCGCTTGCCAGCGAAGCTCCCGCTACCAGCGCCGCCAGCTCAGTGGAGACATTCACGAAGGGCAACATGGCCGCAGCACACACGAAGAAACACCAGCCTCAGGAGGATTTAGCCTTCTGCCCTATTCGCTACCTGAACCGAGTAGTTCTGCCCCAATCACAAGCCGAGCTCATGGCATACGAAAAGGATCATTCTCATCTCGGAAGACCCTGCCACCGCTTTCATGAGCGGGCGAAGCACGTATTTAGCATAGAGGAACGTAACGCAGATCAGGGCCAGCATTATTGCGAAGGTACGGGCAATTCCCAAGAGCCGGGGGTCGTTGATGTTTGGCTGCAGTGCCAGAACCACGATCGCCCACACGTCCTGGAAAATGAGAACTCCGATGGAGATCTGCCCAGCTTCTGTCTTGGTCTCATTCGCATCCTGGAGCTTCTTCACCACAATCATCGTGGAGGACATGCCGCAGCAAACGGAAAGATAGATCGTCGCAAGGCGAGACCGGCAGATGGGAAACCCAAAGTGGGCCAAAGCAGCAAAGACGATTGAGTGCAGTACTACGCATATAGGGAATTGCATCAAACCTGGCAGGAAGATCTTGCTTCCGAGTCGTGCTAGTTCCTTGACGTTCAGCTCCAACCCGATCATAAAAAGAAGGAAGATCAAGCCAAGCTCGCTTATGGTCGCAATCTCTTGTTCTTCGACCACCAGGCGCAGACCAATGGGGCCAACCAGCACACCTCCGAGCAAATAGCCCAGTATGAGTGGCTGCTTAAGAAGATGCATCAAGTATGCGAGGCAGCCTGCTGACAAAGTCCCGTAAATAATGTTTCGCATCACCATCTGCCGGCCCTGCTTGATGTTCTCGGCATGGTGTCCCTCAGCTTTAGGGTCAACAAGTGGAGAAGGAATGAGAAAGATCAGGGTCAGCAGCAGGATGGCCAATGCATAGATGATCGCCTGCAGCAAGACCGACACGACCGTCGGGGCGGGGGCAGTCCCCTTGGCTTGCTGAGCTTGCTGTCCAGCTACTTCATCAACAGCGCCGTAACTCTGGGTCTGAGAGGACTCCAAATCCTCCGACTGCTTGCTCGCCATGGCCGCTACCCGCTGCGCACAGCAAGGCGCCGAGTCAGAGCTTCATTGCTACCAGTGGCCAACAGGGCGCGCGCGCCCTGCCCCGGCCCTTGAGTTGCGGCGAAGGATCGCTGCAGACTTTGCCAAGGCAAGCTGCACAACCGGCAGAAGCACGAAACTGGTCCCACCTGCGGCCTTCCTGCAAAGATCCTCTGTCCAAAAGTCCTGGGAGCAGTGCTTCAAACGGAATGCAACCGTCCAGCATCTAATAACTTGGAAGTGGGTGCCAGGATGTGCCAGGGCACCGCTCCCACATCCGGGCTGAGGTTTTCCAGTTCCGGAGGGACGCAGGCATCCGCTTTCTCCTCGGCCCGGATGAGACTCCGAAAGGATTCAACAAACCTACGGCACCTCGTGCGGTTTATCCAAGCCCTGGAAGGGCGGACGGCCTCGTTGCACTGCCCGTGGTCGTCCGTGCCACTGTCCTGGTCCGGGCTTGGCAAGCCACTTGGTGGATGCTATATGTGATCGAGTATGCGAGCATGCCTTCACGGCAAAGTCTGGCATGCACTTTCTGGGCCCCCTCTCTGCCAAGAACTGTTGGTTCCGCCCCCTCACGATTTTCCTAGTTCAGCTGTGTCCAGCACAGCACCAAGACTCCCTGACACTGCAACATGCGACTATATGCGACTACAAGCTTCACACTTAACATGGCTACGGCAAACATCTGCCAGCTTGTTACGCCCGGCACCTGGGGGCAGCCGTGCTCCATGCTGTAGCAGGAGCGCGAAAAGCTTCCCTCAGTTTCTCACATCCACGACGAGGCTCATGGCCTACAGCTTACGTGATGGCATGCAAAAAATGAGTGGTAAAAATGCAGAAAAATCTTAAAATACCGCGCATTGTCAACCCTGCAGGGCTCCACAGCCTTGAGGCATTTATTCTGATCACCACGCAATCTGCTTTTTCCAATTGTGAAGCGTGCCCAGTCAGCCACACCCCTGCTTTGTGGCAAAGGCTCCATCATCCCATTGCCAAAGGCATCCCCGTCAAGGCTGAAGCACAGCACCCTTGGATTCCGTTCCGTTCATGGCGATCGCATGGAAAAGTTGAGTGGGTTCCAGGATAGCACGGTCGATTGCTATGGTGCTATATCAGTAATAGCATTGATACCAGTAGCATACAGACTCGCGTATGCTCCTCATGCAATGTCATGAAAAGAGAGGCACGGATGTGAAGGCTCCAAAAGACGGAACAACATCCAAGCGACTCATCGCGCCCGCATTCGCCTGCAACAGTGCAATGACACGCAAACACATCACAAATCACACCGAAGGCTGCTCACTGCTCATGGCTCCCAGCTCAAGCTGACAGCATGAGCATCCAAACTCCAACCTTCAAAAGCTACGGCAACATCAATCGGAAATCCTGGTTCTGAAACTGTGTGTGAGTCTGTGTGCGTCCATGGGTGCGAGCTTCCGTGCGTGCCTGCGTGCGTGTGTGCGTGCGCGGGGGGCCGGCGGGCGTGGGCGTGCGGGCATGCTTGCTGCTTGCGTGCTTGCAAGCTTGCGTGCTTGCGTGCTTGCGTGCGTGCGTGCGTGCGTGCAAGCGAGCCTGAGTGCGCGTCTACGCAGGTGCATGTGCACGTGAATGTGTATGTGCATGCCATACATGCATGTATTGGATTGATGGAAGGATGGGATGAGATGGATGCCCGTGGATGCATGCATGGATGGATGGATGGACGGACGGACGGAAAAAAGACGTATGTGTGTGCAGGTCCGTGTGTGCGGTATGCGCATGTGCCTGTGTAGCATAAGTACATGAATCTGTGTCCGCAGCGTGCCTGTACATGTATATTCATATGCGCATGTACTTACGTATCCATGTATCTGTATGTGCCTGCATGTGACAGGAGAGTGTCTGTGTGTGCACAGGTATATACATATATACGAACACGCACACACACACACGTGCACAAAAAAA